TCTCCGTCATGTACCTGAAGAATAGAAAGACAACTACGGACATGGACTTCCTGCTTGACCCGGAGTGGGCCAACGACGAGGATATCAAGGTTCCGTTGCAAAAGTCCATCCGGGAAGTCGCCAACGAGGCTCATTACATGGAGGATTGGGCCAACGAAGATGTGGGAGTATTCGTTACAGAGAAGACGCGGAAGATCCTGATGGAGGACGCCATCAAGCAAAACATTGTCCTCTGGGCCAGTGGCACTCTGCTCGTATTTGCAGCACCCGTAGAATGGGCGCTGGAGCGGAAGCTGCGCCGCATCTACTGCGCGGAGAGGGGGCGCAAAGCGGAGCTGGATCTGGCCGATGCCGTGGCAATGCTCAAGTTCATGAAAGAGAGGAAGGGGAGTAAGCTTGATATGGAGTACTGTCGCACGCTGAACAAGAATGGCTTTGACGTCATGCCAGACGTTGATACCATGAACTGTGTGGCTGCTGCTTACAAGGCAACCTATGGCGTTGATGTGTTTCTTTGAAGCCACTGGAGTCCCTTGCAGAACCCTGCAGGAGGAACTTGGGTAATGGCTCCAAGTGCGGATGATTCTGGACCAAGTAGGTTGAATGGCTGTCGCCGACAGTCGGGCTGCGCAATGGGCTCGCTATGAAGTCTCGACTGTATTTGGCAAGGAGTTACGTGCATACCGCCGGATGCTGAAGCGGATGATCCCCTTACTTTCGCGACAAAAACATGGTAGCGTAGGGCTTGCGGTTCATATCGTATAAAGCCAACCAACATTCGTAATGATGTTGCGGCGCGCAAAGATTTTATTCAGTCCGCCGTCCTCTAAGACGAGCTTTCCTTCCAATATGTAACGTCCGGGTAATCCGTCCAAGTCGCTGGCCGAGAGCGCAGGTACAGAGCCCGTCCATGCAGGACCTATCAGCGGTGTATACGGGGGCCACGGGTCGTCTTCCGTCTTTCGGATAATGTGCTTGCGGTTCCGACGCATGCCTAGACTTAGACGCCAATTAAATGCAACGACAAGCTCCTCAACGAGACATGCGATGATGGCGTAGCGAACGGGATCTTCGTCCCTGGGGTCGCTGATCGACTGTAATGACCACCCCTTCTGATACCAAAAGTATTCAGTTTCGGTGCCTAATACCTCGTAGACGCCAGATGCCATAGCTTCGTACATTCTATACAAACATCTCAAGGGGGTATCGCGAACGCGCCAAATCGGTATGCTTTCCAGATCGATCATATTATCGTGTCGAAGAAGAAGCAATTCTTCGTTTCCGATCATTTCCGCCGCCGGCATAACGTCGGACACGGGGAATTTCCACGAAGGAAACGGAATGAAAAGGCGTACCAGAGCCCAGAGCGGGTGTCTCTCAAATGCCCGTAGTCTTGTCAAGCTGCCGCGTAGATTCAACGGCGAGCGCCATGTGCGAAGCCGATGGATCCATTGTCGAATCCTTAACGAAAGGGGCTTCTTGCGGCGGGGCGGCGGCATCTTCGTCTGCCTATCACGAGGAGCCGAAAGGTGTGTTATAGATGGTTGGACTTGGTGGGATAGACCCAGAATAGTTGAGGTTAACGAAGACACTCCATGCTTGTGAGGGTAGTGTTCTGAAGACGAGGAGACGGAGAGTGAGTTATAGAAAGTAAGGACATGTTTACTGCATCGGTTGGCGCCGACCGGCGAACAGGCGGTCAAGCATGGCACTACCGGGGCACGGACCAACCGGTGCCAGATGAGATCATCACATGCACCCTCCACTTCACCTGCAGCTGCTTAAGATCCCGGCTTATTGTTTCATTGCTTCCCAATGCCAGATCCGCGGAAAGCGCCTAATCATTGCTTGATGATATAATTGGCAGACAGTGTGACTTCTACATACCATAACAGTACTAGTGGACGAATCAGCGCCGGACGCATGAGGGGGACTGCCACGAAAGTGTCACAGGACAGGGCCAGGTTTATTGTATTTTCTTACGCCATTCGGTGCGTGCTTGAACCTCATCAATTAGTACTATATATTTGGCTCGCAAGGACCGTATCGGGTATCATAATAGTATTGAGCAATGGAACTTTGGAAACGGTAGAAGGCCCTTAGTTTCAAGAGCAACATCTAGACCGTCTCTGCCACCCTGGATTCGAAAGAACAGCCCATGAATTTGAGGAAAGCCTGGAGCCTACCGTAATGCTATATCTGCAGTGGACTTGGCAATTATACCAGTAAATCCCACAAATTCCAGGATAGAGCTTACTTGAATAGCTAGCAGTTGAACAAGATCAGCGCCGGGACTGCCTCCATTGGCTCGCACTTGACTGCGACACGTCCTTTCACTGTGGAAGCAAAACGTGTTGTGGTGTTCTGATGTCGCCCAAATGATTGCCTAAAAGCATATGAAGGTATGGCAAAGATGATCTGGCATTGAAGGCATAGCGACAATCCTGGCAGAAGACTCAAGATCGATGTGAAGTTGTATCCACGACGCCGTGCGGTGGTAGTTATCCACAGGTGCGTATTGTGAGATAGTACGTAAATAGAAAGATATAACGGCCTATTCTAGAGCCCGAACCGTTGGGTTGATGATTGAAGAAGAAGTCTGAGATTAGGAGCTATTGCTAAAGGACCTATGCCCGAAGCACTGTTATTAGTATCATTTCCCCGACTGAGAAGCACACCGAGCACATCATGGAAGAATAAAAAAAAAGAAGCATCATGAATCAACCAGTCTCCAGCATGTTGCCTACTCAGAAATGAACTGAATCAAGATTGCGCATGCTGTATTGGTAGATAGTATGGTGTAGTAAGTAGTACTGTGTAGTGAAGAATGTCCACTGGTTCCTACTAAGAGGGTGGGCCCATGGACCAATTAGGCAGATGTCAGGCACGTGTCGACTGTCCTCCACAACCACCAAAATAAACTCATACCAGGCTAACGATCATGAAAGGGGAGCATCAGTAGTATCAGCATCAGCATCACGTTAGATTAGCGGGTGGCCTGGGGGAGGCTGGAGCAAAAGTTAAACTTCATGCTGGCCCACAGGTGAGACGCCATCCGCGAGCCACGCACAGTTACCGGGGCAGATTCATCAGCGGCGGCGTCATCCTCCCCAAACCGCTTCTTTCTTTAGCAACACCCGCAGTGGAGTCGCGATCGTCCACAGCGAGGCTTTGCTCTTTGCATGGCAACTCTCGTCCGTTGATCTGGCTTTTGACTTTTCTCCTGTTTGTTGTCATCTCCTCTCACTTCCCTTACTTCTGTCTCTTTTCCTCCTCCATCCATTCGGTCCATGAGGATATCTTAACATCTATCGCGCTGCAACCATTCCGCAGCGGATCGGCATTTCAATTCCTTATCGTCGGCTTGGATTCTCGATCTCGTTCCACGCTCGTTAATCCCCACACTCACACCCGCCGCGATTGGGAGAACTACCATCCCAGCGCATCGCCAACATGCGTTCCAGAGCATCAGTCAAGCCCTCCCAATACCCCCCGATTCCATTCCATACCATTCGCTTTTTCGGCCTGATTTCCACTTTCATTGTGGGCATTATCTTGGCCGTATTCGTCAACCAACTGCATAGCAACAACTACAAGCTCCCGTGGGCTTTCCTAATCGTAAGGCTACCATATTTACCTCCACCCCCCCCCCAATCCATGTTATACACTCCACTAACACCCCATCCCAACTCATCAGCTCCTCATAGCCACCGTCTTCTCCCTCCTAAACTTCATCCTCACCACCATAACCCACTGCTGCTATGGCCTCTCCCCGCGCCTCAACCTCGTCACCAACAGCATTGTCCTCGTCCTCTGGCTCATCGCCCTCGGTCTCCTAAGCTGGAGCATGTCCCACACCATCCTAACGACCTGCAACACAACCTACTGGGGCACCTCCACCGGTATCACCGTCTGCAGGATCTACAAGGCCCTCTTCACCTTCACCATTGTGGCCGCGACAGCCCACATCGCCGCCGCCGCTCTGGACATTATCGTTTACCGTCGCCAGACCCGCCTCGGTGAATACGATCCTATGGCCAGCAGTACAGCTCTCAACGACTACAAGATGCACAACCGAGACAGCAGCATCATGTCCGGCGGCGTTGGCCCTTACCCGCCCGATGAGGCCGATCACCCCTATTACGCCAATCAACCGCATCAAGAACCCCTGTACCAGCATGCCCCGGAGCCGTTGTACCATCCCAGCCAGCGTATGCCGCCTCCTCCTGCGTATGGGGCTGGCTCGTTGGAGCAGCACCATGCCGATGAAGCGGAGGAGTACTCCGATGCTGCGCCGGTGCAGGGACGTCGGAAGCCAAGGGTGAGGTTTAGTGCTTACGGAGGTACTGCGGGTTATAGTCAGCCGTCGGAGCAGACGAGTTATGACCCAGCTGCGTATCGGTGAATGGTTGTGTAGGGGTTGGGTGTACGCGTTCCACGAATGCAGAACGGTCACGCGACCCCGTTTGGACGATCATCTGCGTGTTGTCTCTGCATGAGAGGCCAAGCCAGCTTATCTTGGCTTTTCATGCCCTTCGAACTGAACTGATGTGTTACGATCTTGCATTGTAAAAAGGGTATAGTTCCTTGACTTTTGAATAGGTTCATATGCTGGCGGGCGTAATGCAGGAACTGTTTTACTCTTCTTTTATTTGTCTTCAGCGATAGTGCCATTTGATCTTGTTGTCACACGACCAGGATAGTTTAGTATTAGATACCTGAATGCCTTATAGCAAGTACTTGGACAATATTCCAGCTCGGAAAGAGATATTAGTATATTATTTGAGGAACGTCCACGGGCACATGGCTCATTCATTCATGGTCCGCTTCTAGGTGGGAGCTAGATCTAAGGAATACGGTTTCGGTAATCCGACCGCCAACAACGGCGTCGCCAGAATGTTCAACTGGGACCATAGGTAGAGGAAGGACCATAGGTAGAGGAAAAATGAACTGATATCACAAAATATGCATGTCACATTCAAAAACGTCACATGTTCCTTTTACATGATAACCTCGTTGGCGACGTCCTGGAAGTTGTGTTAGCCTCACACTTCAAAACAACATGAGTGGGCGGGGTAACATACGCGCTTCAATTCCTTAAATGGCAGGCACACACAGTTTTGTACCCGTACCTCGTCACCCACGGCACATTCCTTGCCCAGGATGGTGATGCTTTGAACCTTGATGCCGTGCTTGACAATGCTGGTCGAGTGGCTGCCTGTGGGGATCGGGGTGCCCTCAACACGGGCCCAGGCACCGACGCGGCTGCTCCAGCCAATAATCGAGTGCATCACGCATGCATCGTGCTTGATCTCGGCGTCTTCCAGCACGATCGAGTCCTTAATACGAGCGCCTGCGCCCACGACCACACGGGGTCCAATGGAAACGTTGGGACCCAACTTCGCTGTGGGGTCCACCGTTGCGGAGGGGTGGATGTAGACTGGGGGCACGATGGCAGCAGAAGGAGGGGTGAGCTCGTCAGATCCGGCCTGGAAGGCCTTCTGGAGGTAAAGGGCGTTGGCGGGGACGGCGGAGCCGGCTGTCTTGATCTGGCGCCAGAAATCTTTTGTCTCGTGGACGAAGAAACGGTTGCTGTCAGCCAAATCGGAGAGGATATCCTGTTCCAGACGAAGGACTTCGCTCTTCTCTGCCTCGTCCTCCGCTGCGATGAAGGAGGACTCCAGGTTCTCGGACGAAGGGTATGACAGCAGGCGAGGGCGGGTGGTACGGCGCTTGATAGCACTGCGGATGGAGGGGAAGATGCACTCGGTGGCGAAGAGATAGACACCGCAGTTGATGAGGTTGGAGATGTGCGACTCGGGCTTCTCAACGTAGTGCAGCACCCGTCTGGTATGGGAATCGGAAACGATGCAACCGAAGTTGGTGGCGGCATCGTTGTTGACTCTTGTTCCGAGGATGACGGCCTCCGCATCCTTTTCTTCGAACAGCTTGAGCATCTCGCCAAGAGGGAAGGAGCAGCAGACGTCAGCGTTGAGGACGAAAATGCGCTCGGGCTTGCCCTTCAGGATGGCATCGCGGAAGTGGTAGAGACCGCCAGCGGTGCCCAGAGCCGTGTATTCACGCAAGTATTGCATCTTGAACTGAGGGAACTCCTTGGCGGAGTCCTTGATGAAGTCGCGGAAGACGGTTTCATCGTAGTAACCGACGAGGATGACCTCTCGAATATCGGGGATCTTGGCGAGGGCTTTCAGGCAGTGGTGGATAATAGGATGACCGGCGACTTCAAAGAGGGGCTGGGAAAAGATTGGAGGTGTCAGTAGCCGCGACAAAGCTTGCGGGTGACGAAATTGGGGATTGGTGCGGAGGGGCTCATGAATTGCGGGATAGCTAAAGCAGAGGGGCAACTAACCTTGGGCATGTCAAGGGACAGAGGCCTGAAGCGCGTTCCTCTAGACGGGCCTCCGACCTAAGGGAAAAAAAATTCCGTCAGCGAGATTGCTACAGGAGGCTGAAGTCACTAGCGTCACATACCAAGATCACGGCCTTGGTGGAGGCCACGTTGGTGTGCTCCCGCACTGGAACCTGAAGCATGGAAAGGTGGGGGGTATAGAAGTGGG